ACAGCAAGGCCCTGTGGAGTTTGTAATTTAGTAGAAAGGACTGAAGATATTATTTCCAGCAAGTATGATGAGGAGGCAAAATTTTGCAATACCCTAAAATAGAATTCAAAGTCTGGTTTTCTGCCATGGCTAAGTGACTGTAATCTATTCTCAAAGTGCAGGCTGGTCTTTCATTCATGGAAATTAAGTAAAGGAGCTTAAGAAATACCCCTCAATTCTCTAAGTTATCAGGGGAAATGAAGTATTCCTTAAAAACCAATAAATAAACAAAAAAAACTACCAAAAAACTTCCATGTAAATGCAAAGAAATAAAAAATAACTGAACACACAGCCCTTGATTTGTGCTGGGAGGGAAAGAGAGAGGAGAGATGGATCACTGAGAACTTGGAATTGGAGATTTGATTTTCTTCTTGAAAAGGAGGGAGCTGGACAACCCGAAGAGGAAACAGCTATTTTTTCTCCAAGTAACGATGGTTTGGCTACTCAGGTAAGGTAGCATCCAGCACAGGTCAAAAGAAGAAATGAACAGTAGTGGTTAATTACATATTAATGCCCCTGTTAATGAGGTATTGTTACCATTCAGTCCCTTTCAGTTTTATATGACTCTTAGTGATCCCATTTGGGGTTTCCTTGGCAAAGGTAATGTAGTGATTTGCTTTTCCTTCTCCAGCTCATTTTACAGATGAGAAAATTGAGGAAAACAGGGTTAAGTGATTTGCCCAGGGTCACACAGCTAGTAAGTATCTAAGGTCAAATTTGAACTCATGAAGACTAGTCTTTCTGACTCCAAGTCAGTGCTTTATCGATCGTATCACCCAACTGTTGAAGTAGTGAGGCAGTGTTTTGTTGACCATGACAAAAGCACAGAAATCTCTTTCTGGGCAATGTGTCTTAGATTCATTGGTGAACTGGATGGTAATACATAGGCCAAAATAATATTGCCAGAAGCAATATAAAAACTTTGCTAAATGTAATGAAATCTTAAGCTGATGACTTTAGGAACACAGGTGGTGATGTCACCATTGTTGCTTCAGAAGAGGTAGATCTGGGAAATGAGTATCAGGTTAAGAAGATATTTCTGCCAAAGAGATTTGGATTTCTCAACCATGGTTTAAAATGTGCTAAATGATAGGTTCTTTGACAAGGATAGAGTATACCTAACATGGGTTGATCAAAACCTATTTACTTAGAATCTTGCAAATCTAATCAAAATAACTTTAAATTGAAAGGAGGGAGAATATATATGTATGTGCATGTGCACATATACACACATATATGTAGAAAGAGACAGAGAGACATACTTGTATACACACACACATATATATGTATATATATATATGCATATATATATATATATATATATATATATATATATATAATGAATACATAAACACATACACACATGCATATCTTACACATACCCCATGTTAGGTGCCATGGAAAGCAACCAAGTTATAGGAAGAAGAATGGCAATAGAGACAGCACTTGGTAATATACAGAGGATGAAATCCAAGAAATAAGGTAGCAATAAAAACTGTAGTCTTAGATACCAATATAAAATATACAACGTATGGGTAACAAGCAAGGTGACCTACAGATCCTAACCCAAATATGTAAATTTGATTTTACAGATATTGCTCACTTGGTGGGATGAGACCCATACTGGAATATTGCCTGAGAAAGGTCTGCCTTATTTAAATAAAAGGAAGAATAGCTAAAAAAGGGAAGGATTGAAGTATCATTGTATAGTAAGATATACTAGTGCAGAAATCCAGGAAGGGGAGTGGGGGAAGTATGGAGAAGATAGATGAAGAGTAGTAGTGGTAATATCAGAAATGCTATCACCAAAGTGTGCTACAGACCACTTGGGCAGAAACAAGAAATAGACAAGCAGTTTGGGAAACAGATCACAAGCCTGTAATGAAGGGATGCAATAAGAATGATTATCTTTATATTATCTGTATATCTGCTAGAGCCAACACTTCTCTACTTTCTCTCTGTCTGTCTGTCTCTCTCTCTCTCTCTCTGTCTCTCTGTCCCATCTCTTTCCCTAATAATGACAGTTGTTCAAAAAGTAGAAAAACCAACATGGAAAATATCAATTTTGGATTATATTATCACCAACAAGGAGAAACTGGTTATCATAGTAGAAAAAAATGCATACCTTGAGATGTGCAGTGACCACTCCATTCTAGAATTTGGGATAGAGAAGAGAAAAACTGGGCAAAGTCTGACATGTACTCTAGATTTGGAGAAAGCAGATTTCAAAGCTTTCATAGAAAGAATAAGTAGAATATATTGGACTAGGACTAGAAGCACTGATGTATGAAATTCTGAAGTTACCAAGAGAAATGGGATTAAAGTTAGCTGTAATTCCAAAGAGAAGAAAAAGGAAGAGTTGTTTCAAGTGATAGATATGGTTGCACATGAAATTCATCAACCAGTTTAGATTAAAAATGACAGGTGCAGAAAATAGAAGCAAGGGTAGGTTTTACGGGAAGGGTTCAAAAGAATGCTATGGACCTATAAGAACAGCCTCAGAAAAACTAAAGTTTAGAGTGAACTGAGGCTGGTAAGGAAAACTGAGGGCAACAAAAAAGTTGGCTTTGCTTTGTTTTGTTTTGCTTTTTTAAATCTAAACTAGAGAAAAGACACAGTGATGTATACTGGATAGAGATACATATGGGATCAGGAAGAGCTGGATTTAAGATCTTTCTTTGATACTTACTAGCTGTATAACTAACTATGTTGAAGTCATTTAAATGCTCTGAGCACATTTTATCATCTTTAAAATGAGGATAATAATATTTGTAAAAAATGGAAGTGTGTTTGTGCATATCTCAATGTTTTTGGAGGTTAAAATGAACTAATGTATGTTAGCATGCTTTTCAAACTTTAAAAAGCTACATAAATTATTTTAATCATCATTATTAAAAAATAAAAGGGATAGATTATTGCTGAGGGTGAATGGGTCAATGATAAGAGAGGTTGTAGAGGTGGAGAAGATGTAGAGCTGCTTAGCTTGTTTTGTTTCTGTTTTCACTGTCAAGAACAAAGACCTTTGGACTGTAGACGATAAGACAAAAACATCTAATAGGGAGTAGAAACCCAACAGGAGTTGGGAGACGGTAAGGGAGTGCCTAGTTTCTTCAAATGAATTCAAGTTACAGGCCCAGGAGAACCCCATCCTACAGTATTGACAGAACTGGTGAACGTTATTGCTGAGCGATCATCAGTAATCTTTTAAAAATCTTGGACAACAATGAACACGGAATTAGCAAAAGGCAAGTGTTGTCCTGATATTTATAAGTGGAAGGAAGGAAAGAAAAAAGGAAGGGAGGAAGGAAGGAAGAAAGGAAGGAAGGATGAAATGAAGAAAGGGAAGAAAAGAGGAGGGAAGGAAGGAAACAACTATTTATTAAGAACCTACTATGTGCCAGGCACTGTGATAAGCAATTTATAAATATTACCTATTTGATCCTCACAACAGCTTTGGGAAGTGGGTGCTGTTATTATTCCCACATTACAGTTGAGGAAACTGAGACAGACAGTGATTAAATGACTTGCCCAGCGTCACACAGCTAGTAAGCATCTAAGGCTGGATTTTAATTTAGGACTTCCTGACCCCAGACCTAGTGCTCTATCCTCTGTGCCACCTAACTACCTGTAGGCAAAGGGGGAAAATGGATTGTGTAAACTACAGGAGAGTTAGTATGTCTTTGATCCCTGGCAAAATTTTAGAGAGTATTTTAAAGGGATAATTTGTGACCATCTAAAAGAAAGCAGTCATCACCAAGAGACAAAGTGGTTTCATAAAAAGGAAGTTATACCAGAATAACCACTTTTCCTTTTTTTGACAAGATTACTAGATTAACACAGTAGATCAAGTGAGCAATGTAAATAATAGTCTTGATTTTAATGAAGCTTCTGAAAAAGTTTCTCATGCTATTCATCTGGACTTGATGGAGAGTTGTGGACAACATGTAGATGACAGGGGAATTAGATGGATTTGAAACTATTTGAATGGCTGCACAAAGCAAAGACATTAATGTCAACTTAGGCATTTCCCAGGGATCTGCTTGGCCCTGTGCTTTTGAACATTTTTATCAATGACTTGTTGAAGAGTATAAATGGCACATTTATCAAATCTGCAACTGTAAAAAACCTAGGAAGGATGATACCCAATTGGATGATAGAGTCAGGATTCAAAAAGAGCTTGATAGGCTTAAATGTTGGGCCAAATCTAATAAGATGAAATTAAATAAGAATAAATATAAAATCTAGCACTTCGATTCCAAAAAATCCATTTTATAAGTACAAGATGGGGGAGGTTGGTTAGAAAGCAGCATAACAGAAAATGATCTGGGTCTTTTGGGGGGCTGTATATGGGATATGTGATGTAGCAGCCAAAAAGCAAATGTGATCTTACATTGTATTGGGAAACATTAGATATTTTGATTTTCACATTTTTTGATTACACATCTTGTTTTTTATATGACCTTAAAACGAATGAAAATTTAGCCTGAAATGAGTTGAAGAAGTAAGATTACTTGGAAGTGTTTTGGAGACCACTAAATATTAGGGCCAAAGGACTGGTCTCGTGCTCAGGCGGTATGACCCACAGCCTGTATGAACTCTAAACTCCTTTATTTACTTAATCTTATAATTCAAGTTCTGTGACGTGAATGCCAATAAAGAAGAATTTCTGGAAATTTCCACAATGTCTGGCATATAGTAGGTGCTTAATAAACACATATAGATTGGCTAATTGTTCAAAAGTAGCAAAACATATAAGTGAACATTTAAAATTGTGAATCTAGCAGCTAATTTGAAATAAATTTAAATTCTATTTGGAATTTACTGGAATCAAAGTAATAATATCATAAAAATTAATTGCATTAACTAATTGCATTCTACATACATCTGTAAAGCAAAAATTGTTTAAATATAAAATTGAATTTTTGTTTGAAAATAAAGTTAAAAAAAATTCATTGACTTGCCTTGCTAAACAAAATAGACACCATGAAGAAATCCAAGAGGAAACTCTCTGAGAGATTTTTGTAGTCAAACTGGAAGAAGATGACAGTGAAGCTCAAGGTAACAAATGATGAACAGGATTACAGAAGGAGGTACGTAACAGCTTCATGCCAGCTATTGTTATCAGAAAAATATCACAGCTGTTGAAGAGGGAGGAAGGAAAGAAAAAAAAGATCAATGATATTGTGATGCAAAGACGAGGTAAGCACAGACAATTCACTTTGGGGGGCACATATTTCTCATTTTGCTCCTCTTCTAAAAGAAGACAAACATGAACAGCAGGTAAGCTCACAGGAAATTTCCCATTGTGAGGACGTTCCACAGACTCACTGGGCCAAACTCAGAAATAGTCTTAGCTATGAGAGAGAGAGAAAGAGAGAGAGAGAGAGAGACAGACAGAGACAGACAGACAGACAGACAGACAGACAGAAAGACAGAGAGAGACACACACACACACACACAGACACAGACAGACAGAAAGAGAGAGACAGAGACAGAGACAGAGACAGAGAGAAACAGAGAGGGAGAAAGAGAGAGAGAGAGACAAGAGAGATCAGGATATGGAATTTCAATTATGGGCAGAGTCAGGTAAATGAAATACTTTTCTCCTCTGACTGCTGAGCTCAGGAGTTACCTCCCACAGGGAACCAGACTATCCCGAAGGGGACTATTAGTCTATAAAGGGAACATGTTTTACTTGTGCTATTCCAAGGGAGAATTTGGTTTCCACGGTATCACAAGTGAAATACTATATAAGACAGGATGGCTACAGGGGGCTACCTGAGTAATAGGTTGAAAGGGTATATTTTTAAGAGGTCTGTCTTTGCTTGGGTTCATACTTTTTAAGATAGCTATCAACCTAGTAGCCCGCTTGGGACATTGGTACTAGCAGTTTTTCTTGAAAAAAGTGTGTATACTAAAAGCCAAATGGCTTTCTTTCTCTGGGAAAGTATAGAAAGGAAGGTCCAAGGCTTGTATAACCTTGGAGGTTTAATAGATTTGTACTTCTGAGCTTCTCCTCTTGAACTTCTCCTTCTTCTGTGGTGATTACATCTCATTTTACAGGACGAGCCTTAAAAAAAAAAGGCTTTTCAAAATCCTTCACAGATTTTTAAAAATTTCAGTCCTAGAGTTAATTGTTCTCCCTAACCCCAGCTAGCCCTGAGGCTTCATGGACCACATCCTCAGAATGACTCTGCCCAAGGTAGCTTTCTACTTGGTCAGCTGACAAAGATCAGTAGGGTTATAGACACTAGATCAGGAAGAGATCTTGGAGGCCATCCTTTCAGAGGATAATAGATCTAGAACTAGATAATAGATCTAGAACCTTAAAGGACATCTAGTCCAACTAGCTCATTTTGCAGATGAGGAAACTGAGGCATGGTAAAGTTAAATGATTAGACCAAGGCCATGCAAGGAGTAAGTATCAAAGGTAGGCTCTGAACCAAGCTCTTCTGATTCTATGTCCAGTGTTCTTTTCACAGGATATTGATTGGCACCCAGCCAACCCCTTCAGTTTTACAGATGAGGAATAGAAGCCTAGAGAGGGTAAGTTACTTGTCCAAGGTTGCACAGGTAGTAGTATTATGCCAGAGTCTGAACCTAAAAGTTCTGACTCAAATTCAGTGCTCTTTCCATTGTACTATGCTATAGAGATGCAGATTTGTGACACTTTGTATAGGCTGGGATTTTGACCTTGTGAAAAATAACTCTTAGCTACATGGAGTGATACGGGAAATTAGGTCTGCTTCAGAACACAGCTGCTATTGAACCTATACCACAGAGCAGGATTGCTTCATTCCTTTCATGAATTATAAGTCCCTAGGTAGTGAGTTCTTTCTGTTCCTGTTGCCTTCAGTGACAAACTATGAAATCTAGAGAATAAGAGCTGTTGAAAATCTCTGGTTCTTCCTTCAGTGATGAAGGGAATAGTGGCCAAATGCTCTCTGCAGTGATGGATGAAGTAAACGGCTCTGTCCCTGTTTATGAAAAAGAGGTCTGACTTCCAGGACCAAAGATGCCCTGTGAGTCTCAGGAATCTTGTAACAACTTGGACCATCCAAGCAAAACCCAGAGAAATATCAACTCCAAGCCTGAACTTTTGGGACCCTGGTTTGAATGAATTATTTTAATATGTAGATGTATATTAAGAAATCTACAATTAAAATATTTAATTGATTCTAACCCAAGACACAACAGATGAAGACCTGGAGCTGTTACTTATCCAGGCTTTACCTGGGATAGTAGAGGCATCCTGGGATGGCAGGACAACATGACATCTGGTCTGAAGGTACTGTACAGTAATGCAATGCCCAATAAAAACAGAGCTATCATAAGGACATCATAGTTAAATGTTGTAGATATGAACTATGTAGGTATCAGTAGGCACAACCTAGTGTTAAAATATCATGAACTTTGGCTTTTACCACTTTGTCAGCCATCTTATGGGATCATAGTTATAGAGCTGGAAGGGACCTTAGAATTTATATATTCCAACTCCTTCATTTTAAAGATGAGAAAACTGAGGCCCAGCGAGACTGACCAATCTTTCCACAGGTGTTCAGTAGCAAAACTGGGATTCAAATCCCAATCTTTTGATGCCAAATCCAGTGCTCATTCCCACTCCAGAAGGAATAGCAGTTACATATTATGTGTCTGATATTATATAGCATGTTTTGGGGGCATGTATTGTTTGAGCAAAGTGTCCTGTGCCAAATCAGTACATCTATAAAAAACCCATGAAATATTATTTTCATTCTCATATGAGCTAACAACTCATGTGATGAGAAACTTTAACCTTATGTCTAATGATAAGTCCACAAGTCATCAGCTGGATTTTCATTTAGAAACTCCAAATTAATTTGAGTATGCAAAACTGATAAATCTATTGTACATTATTAATACTTTGCAAAAAAAATAACCCAATCATCTGGACTAGATGAAGCCTCTAGGCTCTATCCTTTTAATTATAAAACTGAACCTGATAAATGCAAGAAGGGCAGTGACGGTGATTAATTTCCCCCTCCCCCAACTACAAAGTGATAGAGTAGTTGTTAAATGGAATGACAGTAGACAGTTTATAAACTCAGAATTTCAAGACGTCTGGATGCATACCATGTCTCTGTCATCTTATTTGGACTCACAGGCTAAGTATTTCTGGGTTGATCTTCATATTGACTGACATTTATTTGTAAAATCATTTAGAACAGATCTAACTTCATTTGGACTCAGGTCACTCAAAATGACCACCTAGGCAACAGTAAAGTGATTTAATCTAATACTCACTGGTTCCCATTCTTTCAAGGTCATTTTTTTCTAGCGTTAAGGCAGAGCAGAGGTGAATGCTGAAATCCTTTAAGGCCCTCAGAAAAATTCATTGTAGTTTTAAAAAATTGTAATCTACATTATTATGAGATTAAAACATTTTCTACTTACTGGCCACCAAGTCTCCTGTAATTGCTAATAGAAAATGCATCAATAGTGAGTGCATTCAAAATTATTGCTGGGTACAAGACGTATTTCTCCAAACACTGAAGCCAGACGTACAGTCTTTCAAACCACATCAGATGGGCAACATCTGGGGAAAAGAAAGAAAAGCAAACAAACTCAGAACCTCCATTTGCTAAATTAGTTATTTGTAGGAGCATATTATATAAACATGATATAGCCTGAGGTCAAAAGATGTTGATCGAGAATCCTAGACAGAAGTCACAACTTCATTTATCTTACTCAAATAGATCTGTGATCTCATCACTCTGGATGTTTCCAACAATGAAGCCAACTGCAACCCATCCATGCATGCACAACCTGTATAACTCATATCCACGTTCTCACATCAACTTGCATGGGGCATCCACCCAACATTGTGGAATGCTTCCTCACTTTCTTCTGCAATCTCAAGACCACCAGAGGAACACCTGAGCTGTCTATATATTGTCCTTCTTCCTGGTTGTGTGATGAGCCCATCTTTTTTCCATTGTATATTTCCTTGATGATATTTTTTATTCCCATTCTCCTTTTATCTTTGTCAGTTTGTTCTATGTTGCAGCCTGCTCACATGCACTATAGGGTTTCTCCACTGCTCAATGTGATATTCAGACTCCATTGGAGACTTGTATGCTATGTCTTGTAGCCATACAAAACTATTGTAAATTATTATATTAGCATATTAGTATGTATAATATATTATAATATATGTTATTAGAAAATGGGCCTTTGTTTCTGGGAGTCTGGAGTCATTAAAGGAACTTTGTAATTTCATAAAGGCAATCAATTCTGTTATTCTCTTCTTGATTAATTGATTCTGGGATTAACTCATTGCTCATTTGTATTGTCACTCCTAGATATACATACTAACGGACGATTTCTATAGACAGTCTATCTGTCATAATCTGGAAAATGAATATCCTTCGTGTATTTGGTCATTTCCATGTGGGTGGTCAGGCCATGAATCTTAAGGTCAGCAAATATTAATCCTGCTTCTGTATTGTAGTCAGATCATTTTAGGTGTTCTGATTAATAAAGAGTATTTCCTCCTAATTAGCAGTTGTCCTTCTATATTGTTCAGCTGATATGCTATCTCTTTTATCAAGCTGAAAAATTTTAAGTTGTGTGTGTGGTTCAACTCAAATTTAACTCAAATTGAATAAATATGGAAACTACTGTGCTAGTTTCTGTGGCTATAAAGATATATACAGAAATGACATACTGTTAAGTAGACTTCAATTTAATAAAGGGGAATGGAAAGAAATAAGCATTTACATACCGCCTACTGTGTTCCAAGCACTGTACTAAGCATATTATCTTATTTGATCCTCCAACAACTCTGAGAGGTAGATGCTTCTACTGACCTCATTTTACCATTGAGGTAACTGAAGCAAACAGAGGTTAAGTGACTTGCCCAGAGTTACACAACTAGTTAGTGTCTGAGGTCAGATTTAAACTGAGGTCTTATCTGACACCAGACCCAGCATGCTTTGCACTGTGCCACATAGCTACTGCTAATTGGAGCAGGGAGTTGAGTCCGGAAATGCATAAGAAGCACTGTTTATCTTCTGAAAATTTTGAGGGTTTTTTTTTTGTTTTTTGTTTTTTGGTTAGGCAATAGCATTAAGTGACTTGCCCAGGGTCACACAGCTAGTAAGTGTTATGTGTCTGAGGTCTCATTTGAACTCAGGTCCTCCTGAATCCAGGGCCAATTCTCTAACCACTGCGCCACCTAGCTGCCCTGAGGTTTTTTTTTTTAAAAAGGAATAAATAAAAAGAAAAAAAAAAGAATCAGAATGAATACTTCTTCCAGAAGGCATGTGACAGTCAACTGTCCTATGGTTCTATTGCCATGGTTGTGACTGCCCAGATCAAAAATCCTTTCTAGGACTACTACTCCCAAATATGGAATGCGAGCTCCTTGAAGGCAGAGAATGTTTTACTTTGGTATTTATGTCCCCATCAACTAGTATAATGCCTAGAATGTGACGGGTTCTTAATAAATGCTTTTTTCATTCATTCAGAATGACAGTGAATATTTAAGATTTGGGCCTTGGCAAAAATTTTTTAAAATGCTGCATTAAACTACTAACTTCTGATTCTGCTAAAGTCTTAATCCCACTGTTTTACTATGCTGGAGAAGTAACCCTGGGTTTATGTAGGTGAGGCCAAATTGTGCTGATAAATGTTTAATACTTTAAAGTTTAATCTGTACTATTATCCATCACTTTCTTTGGTTTAGACAATCAGCAAAACAATAAATCCAACCCTGATTTATAGCACTTGCCAATTTCCATTTGTAGGTGCTCACAGTGAAAAGGTAATAATCAGCTTTCATGAATCAGTTTGAGCTGACTCCAGCACACCCTTGATTCCAGAGGACCACAAACTTATGAAACAGGCAGCAGGCAGTGTGTCTGTTATACAACGACCAGTCCAGCTAAGTTTAGAAAGGCTTATTTTCATAAAGATGGCCTCCAGATATTGATTTTATTTTTGTCTAAAGAAATTCAAGGAGACTCAAATACATGAAAGTATTATAGTCATTATCAGCAAAAGGTATAATCACACTGATGAAATCACAGATATTTCAAAGTTCTGAAGGTTATTATATATGTTAGAAATAAAAAAAGAGTAGGGAGCCAAGGATCAGACAATAAAGCCCAGTATAATAAAAACAGCTTAATTAAAGTGCCTAAATATTAGAAACTTTGTTAGCTCACATCATTTAAAAAAACAAACAAAAAAAGATGTTGGAGGACAAGCAATATCATCCCTATTTTTAAATTGTTAACATGCAACTATGCTACCTGAGAAATAAACAACTAGACAATATAACTTTAACTTTATCAAGACCTGATAGGTGTTAAAAAGATGGGTACTGTTTGCAGGAAGCAGCTTGTCATCATTAAAATTTCAGGATAATTTCCCAGATATGATACAGCTCATACTCCTCTTCCTAGACATTTCTGGGCTCCACTTATTGTCCATTGAAATGGACATATGATAAACAGACATAAGACGTGTATAACAATCACTCAATGAGCTGCTCATCCACCAACGTGGCATCATTTGGGCAATGTTTATTTTGGCCTTATTTAAATTATAACATGTAGGTTGGAATTAGATTGTGGTGTTCTTTAAAGGACAAAAAAAAAAGAGTTTGCATTTTACTCCAAAGGTGATGGGGAGGCATTAGAGCTTCCTGAGGAGAGGACTGATATGGTAAGACCTGAATTTTAGGAATAGCAGTTTGGCTGCTATGTTGAGGACAGAGTAGAGATGAGAGAGAATAGAAGTCAAGAAACCAATTAGGAGCTATTCCAATTGAGAAGGGATGAGAACATGAATAGAATGAGAGAAGAGGACAGATCCCAGAGATGTGAAGATGTGCAAATGACAAGATTTGGCAACTGATTGGATATGGTAGATTTGTGAGAATTAAAGCTTGAGGGTGACTCCTAGGTTGGAAACCTAGATGATTGGGAGAATGGTAGTGCTCATTACAGAAATTTAAAAAGAACTTAGGAGGAAGGGTAGATTTAGGAGGAAATATAAATTCTATTTTGGACACGCTGAGTTTAAGATGCCAGTGGGACAATGTATTAAGTGATCAGTTGTAGAAGCAAGATTGGAACTCAGGAGACAGATGGAGCCAAATTGTGTGAATTTAGAGGTCTTCTACAGAGCAGAGAAACAAATTGAATCCATGTGAACCGATGAGATCACTGAGAGAGAGAGTGGTGGAGGAGATGCCCCTCCCTCCTGAACAGTCTTTCTTTCCTTAATGTCTGTGACACCGTTCTATCTCTTGGGTCTACTCTTACCTGTCTGACCACTCTTCCTTAGTTTCCTTTGGTGGACCGTCTTCTTATTCCCACCCACTAAATGTGGGTGTTCCCCCAGGACTCTGACCTGGGTCCTCTTCTCTTTCAACATTCTTTCCCATGCTTATCTCATCAGCTCCCAAGAGTCCGTTTCTTTTCCAGTGACATCCGAATCTGAATATCTAACCTTAATCACTCTACTGAATGCCAGTTCTCTAGCATGAAATGTCTCCCCCAGACATTCCATAGGCAACTCAAACTCAGCATGTCCATAACAGACTCATTATATTTCCCTCCAATGTATCCTTTCTTCAGCTTTCTCCAGATCTACTAATGGCACCGCCATTTCCCCACTTTTCCCAAGTTTGCTGTTCTGGAGATATTCCTGATTTCTCAAAGTCCCTCAGCCTCCATATCCAACCAGTTCCTAAATCTTGCCAATTCTATTTCCACAATAGCTCTTGCATTTTATAGCCTCTGCTGTTAGTATTTAGTAGCTCAGTTGCATAGGACTTTCCATGACCCCATGGATGTTGTCCATGGGATTTTCTTGGTAAAGATACTGGAGTGGTTTGCCATTTCCTCCTCCGATGTGTCCCTTTTACAGATGAGGAATTCAGGCAAATAAGGGTTAAGTGACTTGCCCAAGGTCATACAGCTAGCAAGTATCTGAAGCCAGATTGGACTCAAATCTTCCTGACTCCAGGCCCTGTGCTCTATCCACTGCACCACCTAGCTGCCTCTCTTATAGCCAATATCATATTTCAAATTCTCATCCCCTCTTCCCTGAACTATTGAAATAACCTCTTGGGTGATCACTTTGCTTACACTCTCTTCCCTCTCCAATCTATTCTCCATCCCCATGCCAAACTGAAATTCCTAAAATGTGGATCTATATCATAATTCCTTTCACCTTTCCCTCACACCAAATCTTTATTTGCTTCCTTCTGTTCCTAGGATAAAATACAAAATCCTTAGCCCAACATTTAAAGCACTCCACAGTCTGGCCCCTCCTTCCCTTTCCAGTCTTAATTATATTAGTCCTCTTCTGTTCCAGACAAGCTGGCCTGCTTGTTGGTCCCCATATGCAGTGTTCCGTCTCATGCCTCAGTGCCTCTACACAAGTAGCCCTCCCCTCCCCCGAACTGCACTGTCCAGAATACATTTCTCTCTTTACTTTCATAGAATCCCGAGCTTCCTTCAAAGCAAGGAGGTACCACCTCCTGTGAGGCCTTTCATAACAAATGTAACTATTAGCATTCTA